ACTGCTTGCACTGGCACGAAGCCGAAAGCACCAGCCTGAGGATGGCGAGTGGGACCTCGCCGAAACGTCACCAAGATACTTTTAATCTTACATGGGAAAAGACCCGAACACACCTAGACCCACATACCTGTACCCATGAAAATCTACGAAAACATATATATGTATATATATGTTTTCTTAAGTTTTCGTGGGTATTTATATGTATGGTATTCAGTTTTGTTTGGGTATTTTCCCACGTCATAATAGTTGTGCTTTTAAAGTTGTAGCAACGTTTCGGCAGAATCTCATCTGCCATCATCAGGCTTCTGTATTGTGTTCGTCTATAACTATAACAAACAACTATAATGACGTGGGAAAATATCCGAACAAAACTGAATACCATACATATAAATACCTGCGAAAACTTAAGAAAACATATATATATATATATCAGGATAGAAGGCAGAATCTGATAAACAACAATTTAGATAATCGAACTCATAAAAATTAGTATTTTAGACCTATCAACTGAAATCAGAATTAAACTGGATTTTAAAATTAGATACACATTGTTCCTTAAAACATTTTGGGGAAAAAATACAAAAACTTCAGAAATTATAACAACTACTTCTGATTATATTCTGTGAACATGATGAATGCCACCATCCTTTATTAACAACATTTTATAGGGTTGAAAGTATTTTATAGCCACAAACTGGGACATAAATAACTGCATTCATACGTAACAACTTAGCGAGTTGTCTTTAGAACAAGGTTTGATGAACACATGTAATGCTAAGTTATAATGGGTGAATTACCATTTAAGCCAAACCCAAAAATTATTTAATGTACAAATTAAAATACAGCCTTTCTTAGTAAAGCGAAGAACAAGAACAATAAAGAATTTTGGGATGATCAAATTAACTAAGAAAAAAGAGAAATCCGCTACATTTGGATTCAAGGGGAAGAGAATGGATGTGAAATAAAAATTCAGCAAAGGGGTTCCTGAAACTCCGATACACGAATTTCTAATTTTGAATGCACCCTCCATTACTTTTAACACCTACCAAGAATGTTATGGGGAGAAACTATTGCATAGCAAAGCCACGCTGAATTAATAAACAAATGTATTCATACAATGTACATGACTTATGACCATTTTTGCAGTGGTTTTTAATTGAACACAGTGGTCATTAAGTGAACCCACTGTACACAATGCATTTTTTGGTGGAACTCTGAACTAAATACTGGTTTCCATTAAAAAAAACTTGTAAATCATGGCCATGTGATCACAGGACTTAGCAAATGACCATAAAGGTGAGCCAGCTGTTAAGTGCCCAAAATGCGATCACGTGACCATGGACAGTGGGGTGGCCATTGGAACTTTGAAACTGGATTGTAAGTAGCTCTGGGGAGGTCCGTTGTAACTCTGAATGATCACTAAGCAACCTGCCATAAGTCAAGGACAACCAGGTTCACAGCTGGTTGTTGATGGCATGCTTTTCTAGCAGAAATCCAAGCAGGCAGATTTGCAACTTCACTCAAGCCAGCGTTCAGAGTTAGTTTTGGAAAGGCTCAGTGTTTTTTGTCAACCTACCAAAAGCCATAATGGAATGCATGAAGGACAACTCTTGTTTCTTTCACTTTTCTGAAAGCAACAGCTTTCTAACTCAGCATGACTTTAGGGATGAAATAATCGAAGCTAGTTAGCATCGGTTTTGATAAGATGGTGCAGCCCTGAACTGGACCCGACAAAAACCAAGCTGAATTGAAACATGAAGCCAAATCTTCCATTGGGGCCACTATGAAGAGAAAGCAAGTTATGGCCCATTTATTTATGCATCCAACATCTACTCTGTCCAAGCCTCGTTCCTCAGCTGAGCCTACCAATCAAGTGACTTTCTCCAAAACGACATTGTGAAATGCCTGCTTAAACGTCTACTTGTATATTTATGAAGATGCGCAGGAAAAAATGTCTGGCAGGTCCAGAAATACATGTGGGAATATCTCATGTGCATGAAAATTATCCTATCACAAATCAAATGCCCAATGGAACACTTCAAAATCCCTCGCCTTGGGCACAATGGAATTTGTTCTGATAGTCCACAATGTCAGGCCATACGCCAAGATATAACTTATTGATGATGTGCTCTTCAATAAGAAAGAGTCTAGAAATCACTATATCTTTCTCTTTTAAAATAGTAAAAGAATTGTGGTGGCACAATGATTAGAATGCAGTACTGCAGGGTTAACTCACTGCTCACTCCTGGAGTTTGATCCTGACCGACTCTAGATTGACTCAGCCTTCCATCCTTCCGAGGTGGGTAAAATGAGGACCCAGATTGTTGGGGGCAAGATGCTGATTCTGTAAACTGCTTAGAAAGAGCTGTAAAAGCACTGTTGAAGCGGTACATAAGTCCAAGTGCAATTGCTAAAAAAATCTTTCCTATTTCTTCTTTTTCCATATGTCCCCTTAGAATAGAATAGAATAGAATAGAATAGAATAGAATAGAATAGAATAGAACAGAACAGAATTCTTTATTGGCCAAGTGTGATTGGACACACAAGGAATTTGTCTTGGTGCAAATGCTCTCAGTGTACATAAAAGAAAAGATACATTAATCAAGAGTCAAGAATCCTAAGGTACAACACTTAATAATAGTCATAGGGTACAATAAGCAATCAAATCACACTAGGAAACAGTCCATATAAATCGTAAGGATACAAGCGACAAAGTTACAGTCACACAATCACAAGTGGGTGGGGATGGGTGATAAGGAGTGAGAAGAAGTTTAAGTGTACAGGTAGTCCTCAACTTACGACCACAATTGAGCCCAACATTTATGTTGTTAAGTGAGACATTTGTTAAGGGAGTTTTGCCCCATTTTACGACCTTAATTGCCTCAGTTATTAAGTGAATCACTGCAGTTGGTAAGTTAGTAATCTGGTTGTTTTGTGAAGGTCGCAAAAGGTGATCACATGACCTCAGGACACAGCAATGGTAGTAAGTATGAACCAGTTGCCAAGCATCTGAATTTTGATCACAATCCTTAAGGGGGTAATCTCTAATCCTGGCCAAAACACCACAGAATTCATTGGTGGGAATGAAACACGAACATATGAATACAAAAGTATAAAACAGGCCTTGTCACGCATGACCTTCATCACTGGTTCACGGATAGCTCTTCCAGGCTTCTCCAGAACCGATGGGATCTTGGCATAAAAAAAACTCAAACTCTCCTCTCTTTTTCCCCCTTCTTTTTTGGCAATCATGCCTGATTCTTGGAGAATGCCTGGATAAATCCCTGCCGTCTTCTTGGCAAGGCTGTTTAAGAATGGTTTGTCACTGTCTCCTTCCTAGGGCTGAGAGAGAGAGAGAGACAGTGACTGATCTAAGGTCACCCAGCTGGTTTTGGGCCTCAAGTGGGACTAGAACTCACAGTCTCCTGGTTTCTAGCTTGACGCCTTAACCCAGAGGTCTCCAAACTTGGCAACTTTTAAGACTTGGCAACTTTAAGCATAGCTGGCTGGAGAATTCTGGGAGTTGAAGTCCACAAAGTCTTAAAGTTGCCAAGTTTGGGGACCCCTGCCTTAACCCTTATACCAGGGGTCTGCAACCTGTGGCTCTGGAGCCCCATGCGGCTCTTTCGGTCCTGTGCTGTAGCTCCATGTCAGCTGATCCCACACTGGCTGGTCCCTCCCCTCCCCATCACTACTCGCCTGGCCTGAGAAGGTAAGGGTAATGCCAAAGGATGGAGACTCGCTCCATATTCCAGAGCAAGAAGTGACTGGGTGGGAGTGAGTGACTTCGAGTTGGTCGCGCTCACCCAGTCGCACTGGTTGTTAAATTATTGGATCCCGGTGTTTTCTTTTCTGTGGGAAACAGGTCCAAATGGTTCCTTGAGTGTTTAAGGCTGCAGACCCCTGCCTTACAGTGAACTGCCTCTCAAACTCTCCTTTCATGCTTTTAAACCCAGAAGATCCAGAAATGTTTCTGTGATCTACTCTTGGAAATATTACTCGGGATCCAAGAGACCTTGACTGCAACCAAAAGAAGTTTTGATAGTATCCAATGTAAAAGTAAGCACAGCCTGCTTATTGTACTGACGGACCCTTGTTTTAAAGCTGAGAAAAATATTACAGCCTCACGAAACATGGAAATGTTTTATTTTCCCAGCTTCTCATTTCCACTGTATTTAAATGGATTCCTGCGTTTTCAGATATTATTGCCTCCAAGCGCCTCTTGTTTATGAAATGCAGTATTGATCTGATGTCCCTATCTGGTGGCTGAGGTCCCAATTATCTTTTCAGAACACTCCTCTAAGTACAATGTCAAAAAATGTCATTCATCCTACAAGGAAGAGAAAAATATGAGGGGAGAATGAGAGTCAGGGATGTCAAACTTGCGTCGTCAAAGCGTTGTCACATGACGTATTGCAACTTTCCCCCCTTCGTTAATTGGGCATGGCCAATGCGTGACACATCCGGCCCGTGGGCCGTGAGTTTGGCAGCCCTGATCTAAGTGGCGCACAGATCCCAAAATCTATCAATAGAAGAGAATATAACTCAGGGTTGAAATGTAGGTGCTTGGGGGTCTTTGAGGTTGGTTGTTTTTTTTGCAGACATTTCATTACCTGACTAGGTAGCATCATCAGTGCTGGAAGGGAGTGGGATTTGCTCTCTGTTTAGGTATAAATGGCTTGCCTTGCGTATGGGAATGTTTTTCACGGTTCCTCAATTAAATTGTTGTTTACTGTTTGATCATTTGATAATTCCTTGATTGGAGTATTGTTTGTTGCTTGATGTCACCCAGTCGGGTAATGAAATGACTACAAGAAAACAACCAAATCCCAGAGAGCACCAAGGACTCCACAATCCCAAAACCTTTGACTTAGTCATATCTGGAACTTTAAGAACATAGACACCCTTTCCTAGTAAAAGTGCAGAGAAGAGCAGCCAAGATGATTGAAGGGCTGGAGGCTAAACCATGTGATGAACAGTTATGGGAACTAGGTATGTCTAGTCCACTGATGGCTAACCTTTTCGGCACCGAGTAACCAAAGCGCACATGCGTGCGCCACCAAAATGCTACCCCCCCATGCACCCCCTGCACATGCAGCCACCCTTGCGCATGTGCCCTGCCCCCACCGTGCATGCTCCCCACGTCCCCCGTGCAGGCACCCTGACCCCCGTGCATGCATAGCAGAGACCCAAAGACCAGCTGGCCAGCGGGAGGCATGCACACATGCGTGGCGGAGCTGAGCTGGGGCGACGGCCCGCATGCCCAGAGGGAGGCCTCTGTGTTCCACTTCTGGCACGCGTCCCATAGGTTCGCCATCACGGGTCTAACCTAACGAACAGGATTAGGGGGGACATAATAGCTGTCTTCCACTACTTGAGGGTCTGTCACAGAGAAGATGGGGTACACTTCTTTTCCAAAGGACTAAAGGG